CAGAGGCTTACCAAATACAATTTATAAGTGTGGGGTGACCCTAGCCAAAGCCTGTGCAAACAACAGGAACTGGGGTGCACAACCCCCAACCAAAGGCCCTCACAGACAACAGCTACATAGGGGCCCCTGTGAGAAGCACACCTAGATATCATCCCAAGTGTGCATAGGCACCAGCCAGAAGCCTGCCCAGAAAACAGGTCAGCTCAGGGATCCAGAAGGCCACGACTCTGAACCCAGGAATGGTGTACTGCTGACCAGCAGAGTGAACAGTGGATTGCTGAGAATTCAAGACCACTGGGTGAGCAAAAAGTCACCTCAACAAAGACACAGCAGCCTGCATCTTTGAAATGAGAAGACACGTAAATAAGTCTCAAAACCAGACTTCCAGATCACCTAAGGCAACCTCAAAGGGAAACAAGATGGAACAATCTGATACTCAACCACCTGGACTCCTGAACTAGCAAAGAAAGAGGACCTGTAAAAAATAAAATCAGAAATAATTTCTCAGATAACAGCAGAGATTGTGCCCATAGTACAAGACATGATTAATAAATCTAAAACAGACACATAAAAAAATAGGGGAGCTGAGGAACATGATGGAATCTCAACAAAGGAAAAAAATGGAATCCATAAAACAGATGCTAACAGATTTTCAGGAGATTAAAAATTCCATTGAAAGTTTACACAGCACAATGAGTCAATCCAAGGATAGAAATTCAGATATGGAAGACAGGATTGCATTTAGTGACCAGTAAAAGAAAAATTTCTTAAAAATGATAAGGGACCATGAGAAATCAATCCTGCAGCTGCTAGATGATATAAAGAAGAATAACATCAGAATTACTGGAGTCAATGAAGAAACAGGAGAGAGTGCAGATGACATAAAAAAAACTGTTCACAGAAGTGATGGCAGAAAACTTCCCAAATAAGGGAAAAGAACATGACATACAGATAAGTGAGACATATAGGACTCCAACTAGCCATGATCAAAAAAGATCTACACATAGGCATACAATGGTTAAGATTCCAGAAACCCAACAAAATAATAAAATTCTACAAGCAGTTAGAGAAAAGAAACAAATCACATACAAAAGGAAAGCCCATCAGAGTCACAGCAGACTTCTCAACACAAATCCTCAAGGCAAGAAGAGTGTGTAGTGATGTATTTCAAGACCTAAAGGAAAATAGCCTCCAACCCAGATTGAGGTACCCTGCAAAACTATCTTTCAAAATGATGGAGAAATAAGATACTTTCATGACAAGGAGCACCTTAGGAACATCATGGATGTGAAGCCAGCACTCCAAAAAATTTTAAACAATATCCTAGGAAAAGACAGTGAGAATCACAACCCCAGGAAGCCCTACAGAATGAATCCACTAGGCATGACAAGAAATTAAACACAAAGGGGGGGAATCCAACAAAAA